ACCAATAGGAAATCACTGCCAAGATCTAGTGCGAGGTAAAAAATGTCCAATACCTGCAGCGTTGTGTTTGCTGGGGGAAATGGTCCCAGTTCTTTCCCTTTTCTAATCCCACAAACCTTGCACTGTGACTACAGTTGATCACACTCCTTGAATCTGGCCTAGTCTTGTGACTTGCTTTGGTCAGAAAGAAGAACGGGACTGAGACCAGGCCTCTACAGCCCTTGTATGCTTCTGTTCTTGTGAAACCCTGACATCACAGTAAGAACAAGCTCAGACTAGGCTGCTGGAGACTGGGATCCCCCGTGGAATAATGCTGGGTAAGCCTAGCTAAAGCCATTCTAGACAAACCAATCACCCACTGATTTACCAACAGACGGGCTATGATCAGCTGAGTCTGATCCTGATCAGCATAACTGCCCAGCTTACCCATAGACCCATGAGAAAAAAGGAATAACTGTTATTTTGTCATGATTCTGAGGGGTAAAGGATGGGAAGGTTGAACTATAATCATTCATATAAATGTGCTACTATTTGTGTAATGTCTTGGAAAAAGAATATATAACATTTTTTGCATATGCAAACTTTCTTTGTAAGGATGTACCTGAAACTGAAAACAACTGCTTTAGGGGATAGGGGCTACAGTGGCTGAGGGAAGGTGGGAGGGAGACCTTTGCATCTTTTGAATTTGAAGCATGTGAACATATCTCCAATGAATGAATGGATGAAATCTGTTCTTTTTATTGAAATCTTTCCAGAATCCTTGAATCATCTCCAGGAGAGAACAGAAACTCTTATACTCTACAGGTGAGATTATCAATGGGTACACTCATAGTAGGGTGGAAACATGGATTTAAGTAGTGCCTATAGAAATACAAAAATGCATATTCAATGCAGAGACTATTTCTGTCAGAACCTGCCATAGCTGATAACACAGGCTGCTTCTAAGGAAGGATCTAATGAGATAAGACCGGATAAAGGATAAGAGGAAGAGGGATATTTCCCTAAATGCCTTTTTTACTATTTGAATTTTTTTACACTGAGCTTGTCTTATCTTCCTAAAAGGAAAACAGTGAATAAAATGCATACCTTTTGACCCAACAATTTATCACTTCTAAGAATCCTGCATACTTAGGGAAGCAGACAAAGATAAATATACAGGAACATATACCTGTATAAACAAAAATTATACAGAACCTAAATGGCCATCAATTGAAGACTAAATTATGGAATAGTCACAAAAGGGAATACTATACAGTTGCTAAAACTAAATTCATAAATCATCACATAGCTCAACATAAAACATTCCAGAATTCTTGAAGAACCCACTATATAGAGTCACTCTCTAGTAATGATCACAAACTGAATAAACCCACTGCTGAGAGTACACAGAACATTTCCAGAATTCTTTAAGCACCTTCTAATGCTCACTTCCAGGCATTCACTCTCAAGGAATTATGACAAACTGAAAAACCCATGTAGCCAGGTATGGTGGCAGATGCTGGTAATCCCAGCAGTTGGGAGGCTGAGGCAGGAGGACTGTGGTGAGTTTGAAGCCAGCCTGGGCAACATAGTGAGTTCAAGGCCAACCTGAACTGCATAGTGAGGCCCTGTCTCAAAAAAACAAAACAAAACAAAACAAAAAACATGTAACCATAACCCAGGTCTACAATAGAACATTTCAAAACTGAGGCACTCCCTAATGTCCACTTTCAGCCATTTACTCTTTCAGAGTACATAATAAACACATATGTAGGTTATGTGACTATCATGCAAATCACACAGAACTTTCCATTTAACATTGTTTGTGATAATTCAAGTTATATACGTTTTTGGAGACAGGGTCTTATTCTGTAGTCAGGCTGGCTTGGAACTGCCTTGGCTGCCCAGGCTGACTTCAAACTTGTGTTCCTCATACCTCAGCTTCCTGAATGCTGGGATTACAGGTGTGTCACCATGCCCAGCTCTCTAAGCTCTACATTTTTTTTTTGTATGTTATACTTCAAAAAAGTTTTAAGGGGCTGGGAGGATAGCTCAGTGGTAGAGTGCGTGCTTAGTACACACAGGCCCTGGGATCAATCCCCAGCACCACACAAAGAAAGTTCTAACATGTTCATGTGCATCTATTACAAGTACGTTTGCATATGTATAGAAGGTAATGAGGGCCACAAGTCAAACTTTCTTATTATGGATGAGAGGATGCAGGGAGAGGTCTTTTTCACTTTGAATACTTCCATAAGATTGGAATTTTTAAATTATGAACATTGTTTCTTCTTAAAAGATAAGAAACAATAAAAAAAAGTAAAGCTCTGGTCAGGGAGTTTTGTTTCTGAGAAAATATACATGCTCAGGATTACAAATCCTAGAATTCCTGGCCTTAAACCACAGGTCCTGGAGGGAGATAAAAACTCACAGGAGTTAGACTAAAAAATTTCTTTCACCCACAGCAGCAGGCCTCAGGGAGTCAGGCTGGAAACTTTGCTTTAAGGGATACATTCTGACTTTAATTCTCTTTTGGTCAAAGAGATAAGTAAGCAAACCAGATCTGAAGGGGTCTTAAGGCCCCTTTCCCTTCGGGAAAAACAAGGGGGTTATCTTCTCAGAGCTAGACATACTAGACATCTCTTATCACACTTCACAGAAGAAAGAGAACTTCAGAAAGAGAACCCAAAGAGGAACTCTAAGAGTGTTCCACACAGATTGACGTTTTTAACTTCTTCACAACAGTTCTACACACTAATATAACTCAGTATTTTCTTGGATTGATGTTCTTATATATATTTAACTTCTAAGATTTTGGCCATATATAAATGTCACTCATTATTTAAGATGTTTCTTTAACTCACTTTTTCTCTATTTTTAAAATATATATACTTAGGGCTGGGGATTTAGCTCAGTGGTTTCGCCGCCTGGTACACAAGCGCAAGGACCCAAGTTCGATCCCCAGAACCAAAAATATATATATATTTAAAATGTTATCTGCTAAATTTATTTCAGTAGAGAACTTCAAATCACTATTATAAATGGAAACCATTATTTCATGCCACAGACAGAGGGTAAATATTAGATATATATTAATAAATATTACTGAGAGGGGATTCCTTGACTAAGATTTCTCAGGCAAGTTTTCCTCAGGAATGACTGGAAGACAAAGCTTGATGATTCTCCTAGAGGTAAGAGTGTGAGGTTACAAATGTTTATGGAGGACACTGGAACAAACCCTGAGATGGTGTGTTGGAATCGCAGGTACTAGTTTAAGCTCATTGTTTTTTTAATAGAGAGATAAATGTGTGTATACACATACACTTACATGGTATACGGATATTCACATGCATGTGCTTCCTCTGTGCTACAAAGGTCTGTAAACAAAGCTGCCCAGTGGCAAGACCACACCTTATACTTGTGTCTTGGTTTTTAAATCCCCTTCTCTATTAAAAGAAATCATAGATCCTTAAATAACTGATTCCAGCGCTAGGGCAAGAAAAGCATAAATGTGGATGTCTTGTGCCAGAAAGTAAAAGCTGCCCAAAAATGATAGGACACAGAATGAGCTTAGGGGGGATATTACTGTCCAAATCTGAGACAAATTGAATACCAAAATAATTATGGTAATGAATTAAAACCTACTAACGGAAACAGGATTCCATGAGTCCACACAGATGGTGGAGATGAGAAAGTTCTTTACAGTAGGTTATCAACTAATATGTGGAAGGAGTGATAGAATTACATCGAGCCACTATTAGGTAGTCATCATAATACTACTGGGCAAGAAAAATCAATGAATACTAAAACTTCTGGGTGAAAGAAGAGGAAATAGAATATTTATATTGTACTCTCTCAAAAGTATCTCCACACAAAAGAATTACTTTCTATGGGGAAAAGACACGTACAGTGGAGAAACATAGTAGACACCAAGGATCAAAGTAACCAACACTTTCCAGGACAAAGAGACGCCATGTGCATCATGAAATGATACAAGGAGAACACAGCATCACTTCTGTGTATCTTTCCCAAATAACCTGAATTTCCTCATGGGGAAACAAACTTCAGTTCAGGAACATTTTATAATATAACTGACTGGTACTTTTCAAAAGTGTGAGGATCACAAAAGGAACAACAGGGAATTTTAGATAGGGGGAGACTAGACACATAACAATGATGCAGAATCTGGGCTAAATCCTGGACAAAAAAATATTTTTGTTTGCGAATATAAGCAGAACCTGGATCATAGTCAAATTGGAATGGGTCTGTAGACTTGATAGTACTTTTATATCAACATTAATTTCTTGATTTTGATAGCTGTAATGTGGTTACTGAGAATGTCCTTGTCTTTAGGAAACTGATACTGAAGCATTTAAGGGGAGTGGACTATTGTGCCTGCAGCTTATTATCACATGGTTCAGAACTTAGTCTCAGTGGTACACACACACACACACACACACACACAAATAGAACAAAGCAAATGTGGCTAAATGATGACAATTAGGAAACCTGGGTGAAGGATATGTGAAAGTTCTTTAGGCCATTTTTGCAATGTTTTTGTAAATATGAAATTAACATCAAGTTGTCAATTTTTTAAAAAACTAAAAATAAAATGGAGCATTTATAACCTCAGTCATATATAAAAAGCTTTATTTTTGCATGTTTAACCATCCCCACATCTTGTTCTAAAAATAATTTATAGAGGCTTATAAATATGTAAAAAATATAATAAAACAAATCAAATAAGAAATATGTGTAACCCTGGCAAAAACCTTCTAAATTGTCAAATTCTTCAAAATACTGTTGAAAATTTGACAGATTGTATGGAGTGATTTCTCTTTGGGGAAACAGTCTGGATTTTAACATAGCTATTAGTTCTTTTGTGCTCCTGATACCCTTTTACGTAAAACTTGACCTCCCCTTAGACAGACAGAATGAACTATTAGGATATGGAGGCAGAAAATGATAACCAATAAGAATTAAAGAAATAAAAAAGAATTGAAGAGACAGACTTTAAAATATTGTATTTTATGCATGTATACACTTTATTACCTTTGCATTCTAAGATATACACAAGGCCAGCATTTCACAAAACTTTGTTATTCCGAAAGCTATTATGAAACACAGTGATTACATATCAAGCCAAAACACTATCTATAGGATTTCCCTAATGTATTATTTCTCATAATAACTTGTTTTCAAATAGAAACATGAAATATGATATATCAGAATAAGAAGAGAATTTTACTTTATAACAATAACCACTTTTCAAATATTAAGACTTTATATAAAAATAAAGGGATACTGTCAACAAAGCTCATCTGTGGGCTAGCATATCTCTTACTTATTTCAGAACAATGTCTGCACAAACTTCACTTTCTAGTCCATTTATTTATACATTTATTTATTTTGGTACTGGAGACTGCACCAGGGCCTCCCACAAGATAGGCAAGTGCTTTACCACACTGCTACTCCCCCAGCCCTTTGGGACAGGGTCTTGCTAAGTTGCCCAGGCTAGTCTTGAACTTGCTGTGACCCTCCTGCCTCAGCCTCCTAAGTATCTGGGATTACAGGTGTGTACACCATGTCCAGCCACTAGTCCATTTCAACAATAAGAAACAAAAATGAACCTTCTTTTAAACAAAGTGAATTACCCTGCCTCCTGGTACTCAAGACCACTGAAATAATTTCTTACACAGGTTCTATCCCACCACTGAAATTCAAAAATAAATTTAAAGATCATCACATTTCAAAGATTATCTCTTAATAGTCCTACATTAGAACCTACAAGTGTCCTTTTAAGGCAAATAAGATAATAGAATGAAAGTAGACAAATCTCCTGAAAGAGAAAACCATCTATTATCACTACAGGGGTAAAAACACCTTAGCACAGTCCTTTTACAAACAGAATAGATACACTGAATACCATCAAAGAAATTTTTCTTTAAAATGGCACACAAGGGGGCAATTTTCATAACAGATACATTTATATTAGGCTTGACTGATTATGCACTTTGAACAGGCAAAAGCAACTCGAGAACTAAAGTTAGTGAGGGCTGTTAGGGTGCCGATTACAATTTAAAACAAAGAACATGTCTGATTCTGTGACAGAACTACTGTACTGCAAGCCAAGTGATGTTCTCTAATGGTCAAAAGAGAATGGGTTTCCCTTCAAACCATTCACTATTACTAGTCTCTAAGTGCCTTCAAAGCACATCATTTTCCTTTGAAGTCCAAGGATCTTTGCCTTCAAAAGACACAAGTGCAGTAGTTTTCGTTCCTTACATTCACTTAAAAATGGAGTATTATGATCTTAGTGTGTAAATGTGCATATTAAATACAGACATTTCAACCACAATGTCCAAATATTAAAAGAAACTTACGAGAACAGACATTTACAGAGTGAAATAAATAGTACATCATGTAACATTAGATTACACTCAAGATTTCTTAAATGAATCATTCAGGAGATTCTTGTAAAAATTAAATAACATTTGGTATTTCACACTTACTAGAATGTATGTTGTTTACAGCTTAAACAGCTTCTTTAGAGCGGAATGCACACTAACACTGACTTTACAACTCCTAAAAGCTTCCTTGTAGATAATAAACTGCCAAATTGTAACACAGCATGAATAAGAACTGGATTCCCACTCTGACAGCAACACAATAACCAAAACACCAATCACCACACAACAAAACAAACAAATCCAATGACAAAAAGGAATCAAAAAAAGCAGCAACCAAAACAGTATGTGGCAATCACACACATAAAGCCTCCTTTTCCATGCGACCTTACGATATAAATCCCTTCTAGCATGACAATGTACCAAGGCACCTAAGGCCTCATGACACCACCAGAAACACTGACAGCTCCGTGGACGGCTGCTTTTGTACACAGTGGTTATGTGTAAAGAACATTACTCGTTCATTTGTAGATGCTCCACACATCTGGTCAAGGCAGGAATTTCTTCTCCTTGGTGACACCACCTAGAAATATCAACAATATTTTATATATTCCTTAGGGCAACAGGTCTGGGGAGAGAAATATCAAGTGTGGTATCAAAGTCATAAAGACCCGCAGTGACTAATCCTGTAAGTTCAATTACATTCTCAATATTAAATCAATGCTCACTTCATACACTACAACAGCAAAAAAGCAATAAGGGTAGTGATGGAAGCAGCTACGTTTCTTCCCCTCTGTGAGGAATGGCAAGGAAGCAGCTCAAAAACGAAAGGGAAACAAAATAATGCACTTTAAGCCAATGAAGAAAAGTGAAAATTTAATATAATCAAAAGCAATTTGTATATCACTATAAAATAAAGAGATTAGAAAGTATGTAGTCATACATACACAGGGAACAAAAAAATCTCTCAAGCAAGAGAATTTCTGATCAACTCTGTTGTATCACTGCTGGGGAAAAGAACCATTATAGAAAATACACATCAGTGACTTTCTTGAACACACAGATTTGAAAATGGGTTCTCACTGAGGTGCTAAGACAAAAAATATCCTCAAAGTGATAAATGAGTATTTGAGATTTAGTTACTAGATGTAAAACGAGATAAGCAAAACCAGACATTAGTAACTTCACAAAATTGAACTTTGGAGGAAAGAGATGCCCAAAAAGAACAGCATCAGAATGGTTGAAATCTGTCAGACTTTAATCCTCACTAAGGATCAAAGTTCTCTGCTTTTCTTATGAAATGTTTTATGTGGGAAACAGCAGTTAAAACACTCAATCAGAAAAGGGTAAGTCACTTGTATGAGAGATCATCCACCAAGATGAACGGAGAGCATGAATTGGAGCATGCTACTGGAGATTCTGCGGGAGCGCTGCCTGTAGCCAGTGAGTCTGAGGATAAGCCACTGCTGCTACTACTGCCATCCAAAATATCTGGACTGAGGACAAAGCAAAAAGAATTATAGGCAAATGCGTCTATCAGGGAAAACATAACATGCAAGAACATGGTTTCAAGGACTCACACACTGGTAGAGCATTTGTAAATAATAAAAAGCATAAAAGCAACAATGAACTATGCAATGTATTATATTGAGAAATCTGAGAATTTATGAAATGACAAAAACCGAAAGACAAAGTCTTGTATCACCTGCCCCCCACCCCAAGATATAATGCTGTGTGCAAGAGAAACCACCAGCAGTGTGAAGAGACAACCCACAATGTGGGAAAAAATTTTCACCAGTGGTCCCTCAGACAAAGGTCTACTATCTCGAATCTATAAAGAACTTAAAAAAATCAGATTTCCCAAATTTAAAG